GGACATAAGTTAGCCGAATTTTTAAATGATATATACCAAACTTTGTCAGATATTTCCCTGAATTCTAAGCTTTTTCGTTTGCCCAATGGTTGAGTACGTGTTTTATCGCTAACTTGATACTGATATAATGAATGAATAACGATATTATGAACAAAGAAGAGATGACGAAATTTGACTACACATCTTCAACCACCTTTAAATTTGTAAATAAATGTAAATAAAACTGTGAAAAAATTTGGTGATCAAAAGTATCTTTTTTTGGTGATCAAAAGTACATTTACTCCGTTATATTTGTGTTTTTGATAGTTCACTTTTCTCTACTATTGAAAAGTTTTTTTCTATAGTTGATAAAGAAAAAGGTGAGCTGTATTCTAACCTGTATTGTAATCTTCGCTCTGTTCTTTGTTAACAAACGTTATGATATAATATTTTGTCGAAATAAATCCATTTCGTGTGGAACTTTTATGACATTTGACCCAGCTTTTTAGGCCGTTTTTTGCCATTATAAGTGGGGACGTTTAGATGTATTTATTTCACATTTTTTTCAATGTCAAAAAAACGGTCAAATAACAGGCATTTAACTGCTGTCTGTCGCTTTTTTTTTGCCATTTAAATATCAATTTTCAGACAGTTAGAAAATGTCAAAAAAATATCTTCTGAAACCTAGGATACTATCACCTGCACCAAGAACCACAGACCATTTCCTCGAGGCAAGTTTCTATGAGTCGTATAACTAAAGAAGACTTTTTTCTATAAAAAAATAAAAAATGAGATGAAGATAAAGAAAAAAGTGAGCTGTATTCTAACCTGTATTGTAATCTTCTCTCTGTTCTTTGTCAACAAACGTTATGATATAATATTTTGTCGAAATAAATCCATTTCGTGTACTCCACCGTGAAAAACGTGTGACATAGCAAAAACACATTTTATTACTCAGTAACTACGGGTTTATCGTAACCTTTACGATGAACGTCAACTTTATGCTTAAACAAAGTTTAAAAAGAAAAGAGTTTTTGTAGGGATTCACTGTTCTTATAACCATGTAGAGGAGAGGGCGTGACGCGTATGTGTGTCTTCCCTCTCGGATAGTGCAGTAAGAATCTGATCTACTAAAGAATGATCTTGCTGCAATATTGAACTTCTCTTTTGTGTTAGGTGATCAACAGACAAAAATGGAATCTGTCCTGAGATAATAGTCACGGACAAGTAAGAAACTATAATGATAGGCTTGGAAGATCATTCTAGCAAGATCATCTGAAAATGCAATGCTCGATGATGAAACAGACATTTTAATCAAAATCATAAGTTTCTTTTGCGTTTTCGAAGGTAAAAACTCTTTTAAATATGTTTACACTGAAATGTAACAACCGTTTTAAATATTCTTTGTTGTTTCTGTCTTTGTCTATATTAATGATTCACTAGTACTTAAATGCTTTATGACTTGACTTATATACATTTAAATTTGCGTAGACCTCATAGTTTTTAGCAATCTATTTATGGCTGACAACTTCTTTCTCTCACTGCAATGGAGTCATCAATAGATCAGTATTGTGCAACCATCAAAAAGTAGACAGAAAATACTAGCGTCGAAAAAGTGAAAGAAATGCTAGAGATACTCTTTTGTTCGACGACGACGCAGCTAATAAATCGGATCTTCATCTGGATACTATTTATTCTATTCTGACAAAAGTAAGCTATGCTTTTAGCAAACAAAGTGGAAATGATATCTGTCAACCTGCGAAAACCTTAAACCATCGTTCTATAATCAATCGTAAGTTTTTCATTTGTATGAAGGATGTGATTCATTGATTATTGGCTAAATCAAATCAGAAATCTACTATAATGAATCAAGAAGAAGCAGATTGTTTTTTTGCGACATGTTTTTTATTCTTATGTCTATATCTAATGATGAAATGAGTAACGAATATTATAAGAACGTATTTTTTGACAAAAACATTCTTAAAATATGTCACCGAATGCATTGAAGATTTAGCAACAAACGATGAAAGTAAATAAGACTTTAAATATGTAGCTATGGATGTACTTATTTATTCTTATAATTATTCATCAACAAAATCTATTGGCATAGATTATTCGAATTACGAATCATTTTTGAATGGAATTGTAAAATATATTTCTTCATCATTCTATTTGGATATATTCAGAAGTACTGAGGTTCTACATTGCTATCACTGTGTTGAAGAAAGATTTTTCATTAAAACCTGTACAGAATATGTTATTACGATTAATAACACTAAAAAACTGCCGAGAGAACTATTTAAAAGTTTATGGTAAAAGTATTATTTTCTACTGAAGAGATTTTCGATAGACATCTGTTGTCTATTGTTGAGGGTAACAGCGAAAACACTGGAAATACTCTGGCTGTCAGTTATTATGTTCGATTACTCAATTTTTTTGCTCTGTCGCCATCATTTAAAACATATTTTCTTCAACAACCGAATATAATCGATAACGTATTATCTATTTTGAATACACAAAGGTTGGTTTCTTATATAACTAAAGAAGACCAATATAATAAAGACGATTTTCGTTTACTGACGGAATTCATAACACTTATTTAGAATTTAACGTCAGACTTAAATCTCTTAAGTATTTTAAGAGAGAAATGCGTAATAGAAACATTTGTTAAATTTCAAGATGCCAGAAACGAAAAAATTCAATTTATAGCATGTAACTTGACTTGTATTTTTGATATCAAGAATATTGATCGATTACAAAATACAAATGAAATAACGCAGTGTATAGGTTAATCAGTGTTCGATGTCTTTAACTATCTTCGCACCTATTCAAATAACGACTAAAAACTTATTGTTTTTGTCTTTTAGTAAGTGTACAAAATGATCGAGTTAAAAAACGAGTTTTATTATTGAACGATGGTATACCGATGTTAAATCGACGTGCAAGCGATTCAAAGTTTGATGTAATAACAATTCAACATCCGGCAATATGCTATATTTATACAATGTTAGTCGATCGAGGTGCTCTTCGATTGATAAAAGATAATCATTCATTCATTGAACATGTCAAGTTACTTATATCAACCTATTCAGATGACTTGGCATTACAGCAAACAGCTAATAGAATTATATGGAAAGCTGAAAAAGAGACACAATGCATAGCAAAAGCAGAAGAACGAATAGCGTTAAAACATATTCAAACTAAACGTTTAGAGCCACAACAGAACATTGAATTATTCATTTGGAAACCAGATGATAAATTTTCAAGAAAAGCAATTCAAGAAGAATCACAGCAACAATCATCATCATCACCGCCACCAGTTTATGTAGCAGGACAAGAGGGCCAAAACCCAACAGGTCCAGTTAAGAAATATGATTTCATGATTAGTTATTGTCATATCAATAAAGATCTGTGTCATAAGATTTATTACCAGTTAAAAGAAACAAATGCATATAGTATATGGATCGACAAGGTAAACGTGTTCGATTCGATTCTAGACGCAATGGCTCGAACAATCAAAAACTATTATCATACGCATATCAGAAGCATATCGGATGAGTAATTGGTGGTCAATTCCACGGAAAATATGTTGTAGGAGTTGGCTGAAGTTTCAGCGACAGAAATCACTGATGTACATATGTTGTTAGTTCTCTTGTCACATCCACTAGCTGGTCTACCATATTAGTTTTGGTTGTATCATCGAACTCGTTGGTGACTTGGTATTTGTTAACTGTGACTAAACTTGTTGTCGAGTGGACACTTCTCTTCGGTTTTACAGTATTATTAGTTGTACTTGTTTGTATTTTCCTTGAAGCCGAATGCTCAAAAGAACTATTGTAGCAAATTGTGATGGTTTATCAACCGAAAGTTTTAGCAAAACAGGTGTCAACCACCCGTCTGGATATATGAAATGTTCAATATTTCTGACTAATTCTTGACAAGCAGCATTAAAATCTAACTCCGAAAACTTGATGGACTTGAGTGATGCAACAATGACGATCAACCAATCTGTTGGATTATATTTTGTGACTTTTATGCACAATATTTGCTTTTTAAATTGATAGGCATAATTTGTTAGCGATTTTGAGACGCCAACGTTTACTAGCAGGAAAAAAAGTACTCAACGCTTTTTTTAAAATTTTGTTTCGTTGCTGAGAAAATTCATTTTGTCTAAATCAGGGTGAAAAACTCGTAATTCTCAATTTTCTCCGTTAGAAGTCAACTTTTGAGCAATAAAAGTATCATATTCAGAATCACGATAAAAAGCGGAGTCGACCGATGTGTATTTCGAAATTTAGCAACTTTTTCCGTTCAAAAACGGTCAAGAAATAGCAAAAAAAGGAAGAAACTTTCGAAGAGTATCTCTAATTATCCCGAAGTACTCTACATGAAAGCTCGTTAAAGTCCTCAAAAAATTAATTAAACCCATTTAAATGTTGGCTATTTACCACTGCAGTGCATCTAAATGGTCCATTTTTAACTTTTCTTGACGATTTTCTTCCATACGTTTCATTTGTCTCTTTCTGCTCATCGAGCTTATTTCCCTAACAAAAATCTGTTCTTTTTATAAAAGCTTTCTAATTTGGGAAACTACTGTCAGCTGAAATCTGTTCTGTACACATATTTAAGACACTGAAAAATAACGAGGATATTCGTAAAATAAATAGCATAAAAGAACTCAACTTTTTTAGACATCTCACCAAATCTAAAGAAAGTTCTTATCGTTACCCTCTTGCACACATATATCCACAGGACGAAACAAAACACTGCACATCCTGTTTTCACATGGGCTACCATGAAATAAAGCATCGTGCTAGGCTCTTAGTAACCCAAGTCCGACACAATACCAAACCCAATACCCAAGTCTGAACTTGGGTATCCCAAAGGTAAACCCAATTCTTTGGTTGGGTCTGGGTTTGTAACATACCTAGTTGTAACGCATCGATTTTTTCTTGTATGTGTACATATTTCCACACAGAGTAGCCCTTGTTAAGGAAAACAAAGTGTCGTTCATAGCAGAGTGATGCCAATCGATGGGAAAACCTAAGAAGTGCTTTCAGAGTTTCCTCCGTGTTGTCGGGATCAGCAAGATATTTCATCACTGGATATCTAACCTTCTTTCAGAACCAAAAAAGCCTCTTCATACGATGTGAGCTGTATGAAGACGCAGCTGGAAAAGCATACTGACAATACAATCACTTTTGACCGATTGAGACAAAATCGACGATCAACTGAGAAACAAACGGAGGCTTCAAACCCGTATTCTAGGGGAACGGAGAGCTGGTAAAAACGAATCTTTTGCCAGGCTAGATATTCGAAGCTGCAAGAAAACAACATAACCAGAAAGCTTCTTCGTACGGTATCAGCTATGTGAACACCCAGTTAACCAAACATAAAGACGATGAAGCACCTTTGACCCATTGAAATAAAATCAACGATCAAGAGAGAGATGGATTGAGGTCTCAATACCGTATTCTAGACAGACAGAGAGGCAGTGGAATCGAATGAGTCACATCATTCGATCTTCGAACGAGCAAGAGAACAAAAGGCGAGAAAGCGATCAATGAAGAGAGAAAGAGATATCCTTCTTCATCTAGCGTGATAAGAACCTTCACTGTCCATGAGCCTACCATAGATTCAACTGTTGTTTTAAAAACGTGTTACAGACAGACAGACGAAATACATAATTACCGTCTAACAGACCCTATCCTTTCAATCTAGGGAATAGATTATCTCCACAGTTATTAATGACAGAAGAGATACTTCGGTCATTTAAGTTCGTATCGATACTGGTTGCTTCAGGTTGAAAAACTATCTGAAACGAGGCGAATTCAATGGCATTTGTTTTCTTTCCAATACGTAGAGATATATTTTTGTTTTATTTTGATTAGATCTTCTTGGAAAAAATTGAACCTTTCCATAGTTTTTTTCCGGAGTATTAATAAGTGGAAGTCAATCGTAATTAAAAGGGAGCCACGCTATTTTGGAATTAGTCAGTACAATGAAAAAAGATTTCGGCAACATTTATGTACGTGTGATAATACCAATTTTTTTCCTGCTGCAATTTCCTTGTTGATTGTTTCCTGGTGTTTTTCTTTCAGTTCTCGCTCGAATTCACGACATACTTTACGTATTTCGTCTCCTTTCTCTTTATAACACTTTTGACAAATGGCAATACCGCGGCCAATTAGTTTACCACATTGTGTTTGGTCTCCTTTGTCAAGGTTCAAATACCTTAAATCCCAGCCCCACGCATACGTCGACCAATGAGCAGCACCATCATTGTAATGAATGAAATAGAACGATGGCGATGTTGAACAGCCGAAATTCTGTTGAAAAAAGCTCGTTTGTCGTTCCAATGCGTCAACATAAGCGTCATAATCATCATCGTCACTTGACATCGTAAAGCTCTTAGATTAAAGACTATCTGAAAACGATAAAATTAGTCAACTGTTACAGAACAAGTTTCGATAAAAGCTAACAATGTTATAGTGAAGCAGTCAAACTGCGTTTGTTGGAATTAAGGCAAGATCTTTAGATAGAATGAGAGGATAAATAACAAAGCGTTGATAATGCGACGAAAAAGATGATGCTACGCGGGCTATTATTGAGTAATAATGATATGTTGTGAGTGTAACGAACTTTGATCTATTCATCGTACATGTGCGATGTAAAAAATACTGTGCTTGTCTTACGCCATCATTCGTTATGACAAGTGAAGAGGCGTATGCTCTATCGACAAATGTATTTATTCATCTCATACACAGCACGAGCTTTTATACTAGAGTGGAAAGAAAAGAGAAAAAATCACAAATTGGTATATTCTGCCGGTCGGTAAAGAAAACTTTTGGAGGGCTGCACCATTTCCCTGAAAAGCAGGGAATTATACCGAATCTAAGAGATATGGTTTTTTTCTTCACCACAATCAGTCCCTGGCAGAAATGGATTTTTCCCATCAGAAACGGATGGATTACAAAGGAGAAACCGTGCAACTATATCCCTCCTCCCAGAGAGAAATAGAAAGTTCCGAGAGAAATCGATCTACTCGTCTTCGCTGTGTCGGGAGAGCGACAAAAATGAAATCGGCGACCACTTACCTTAGGTGAATATATCTAGCCTGGCACCTTAGGTGAATAAAGCTGTACTCTCTGTGTATCATGAACTGTTCATGACAACGAGCAACATTCTTCGTTTTATATGCAAAATTTTACCATACTGTACTACAGCAACCTTGACGCTATATGCTTAAAGATAACGAAATAAAATCAAATCAACAAAGTATTTACGTTGTTATGAAAAAAAATGAAAGACAATTGAGTTTTAAACTTTGCATGATCATACTACGTAAGAATGTCTGACAAAAAGAGAGAGAAACAGAAATGTTTGTTCGGTAAGAGAAATGCAAACAACTTGTACAAACAGTTACCTTGTTCGAAGGGATAAAACCCAACTAAAAACAAACTACAAAAAAACAATTTACTGTACTATGAAGGAATGAAAAGAGAAACATGGATAGTGATGTATTGATGATCGTGGGTTTTTTTCATGAATCTGAAATAAAAAGAGAAAAAACCACTTATTGCGTTGGTTTCATTAAAGAAATGTAAACTACTTGTATAAGAATTGCACTTTGAACTTCAAGATCAAAAGCACACACATTCAATGAAAGAAATGAAAGAAAAAATTTCGATTCATTCTGTTGCCATCATCTGCAATGGAGTTATATAGAAATTTACAGGGAAAAAAATTGTATACTCAACGAAATAATATCTTGTCATTTATCAACTATTTTCAATGAATCTCTTAGACAATAAAGTTGAACAAAACGATTGTCATCAGAGTAGCTTGAAATTCATTTGTAAAAATATATCTGATTCCCTTTTCTGAAAGAAAGGATCTTGCAAACAGAAAATGTTTGTATATCTGTCCAACCAATCAAAAAGCAGCATTTGGGAACTAGCGCGGGAAAGCCGCTTTTTCTTCCGAAACTGAGGTACCATAGGTAATCGAGCCTCGCGAACCGGAACCTAAACCCAGTTTTCCCCGAAACCCTATTGGTCAACCAGAAACCAATGAAAATTGAGTTTTCGTAAAAGTGGTCCCTGATAGGTGATTTGATGCGGGGAGTTCTATATGATTTTTTCTATATGGCCGATGGATAGCTCATTCGAAAGCGCAAACTCAGGGCTTTCGAATGGTATATGACTCCCGGTGATTACAGACTCTTTCGAATATCTGGTGGATGTCGCGCAATGACGAAACACATGGAAATGTGAACTTCGAGGTTGTAGCGTTTGATTGTGGACTCCCGCG